CGAAACCTTCTTTGTGTGTGGTTTCTAGTTGAATAATAAAAAAAAATTATATTATACTTATTTGAAATACCATTAGTGGATCCTCTAACCTTGATAATTGTTTTATATTTGTTTAAATCCTTACATTAATATCACATCTCAAAGCTTTTTTCAATGCCTTTTCTGTTATTATCTATTTCTTTATTTGTAGTGTATACAGTTAACCTCCATATGGTTCGACCCCGGTCTTGCTGGGTTATTTATGACTTCAATACTCCTTTACTTGGGAGAAGACATCAATCTTTTGGTCGTGTCAATTTACCTTTATTTATTAGCGTGAATGTCTTGCTATTTTTTATGTAGTATGGACATGCTAGTTTTCCATAAGTACCTTAACTAGAACCCATTCTATAATTTAAAAAATCATTAATAGTCCACATTAAAGCTATCCTAATAAGAAAATTTTATTTTCTCGATACATTATAAGTCAAAGACCTGAAAGACCACAACTGTGTCGACTTATCAATCTATGATTAAAGACAAATATATATATTACAACCTGGACTATTAGGATCAGGTATAGTCATAGATAAAAATATGAAATCCAATCTCATACACATCCCTGGTGGCAAGTTATAAACTGTGAGTATAACCTACCAATGAGAATAAGGAGGAGTAAATGACCCGAATGAGTTGAATCCGTCTATACATAGCCCAAAACTCACTATCATTAATTTAGCTGAAAAGTGAGAATACAAACTATTAAAGTATTTCCATGCTTCACTATAAAAAAGATGCACCATTACTCCATCCACCGCATCATGTGATTGGTGTCATGTTATGTTCTTAACAGTCTTTGATGACATAAATAACCTCTGTAGTCTAGATGTGATTGAGAAATATCTAAGGTTTTTATATATGCTACAAAAGTCTTTCCTATATTAGTTCTGGATTTGTGACGGGAATGCCTACATGTCATGTAGTTGGTTAGCTCAACATTTTCAAGGTAATACATCATGCAGGAATTTAGACACATGTTAATTTTTTGGTATCCTAACCGATGAGTTTCATCTTGGACTTGGCAATATAAAAGTTCTCTTTAAGCCTGTTCCTTTTAAGTAAAATGATTTTCTTTCATTCTATAATTTTATCATAACCGGCCTCACTCAACCCATTAACTGACTTGATGATAAAAACCTGTGTAACGATCTATAATTTAGTATGATTTGTACAGTCATCTTATAATGGTTCATCATAATCTCTTAAAAGATCAAAAAACCTGGCCGTATTTGCATTAGGTTCTTCTTCTATGATTGGATATTGATTATCATTACCTTGATTCATTCTCATTACATCTATAACCATATTCCTATAAAGATTATTGTTGCCATTTACAACTCCATGCACGTTGCTAGCCTTAGAAATTAACCTAATCATCCTTTTTACCATGCTCTCGTTATAAAGAAATAGTTCTCCATATGTATACCAACACAGATAATCCTTCATCAACCCTTTGTACAAAAGATATATTGTTATAAAATTTGAATGAAGAAACTTTTTATTTTTATACCTCTTGCATGGACACTTAATACTGCCTCCACTAATATTTCTCAGAATAGATGTTATGAAATAAAAACTCTAAAGCCCATTAATAATCCATCCTTTATAATTCTTGGGGTAACTCTCAATATATCTATGAACAATTATCGATGACTTCTATCGAACCTCTATAAAATAATGATGACAACATGTATTAATTAACTATATTAAGTAAATAAATTTTCTAAAAATATTGGTTTAGCTGAAGATTATCAAACTTAATATCAAATTTCTCTTAAATATTCATTATCAATTATTCACGTACGTGTAAATTTATACGCATTAACTTATGAAAATTACAAATCAACAATAAAATTGATAAAAATTAAAACAAACCCGTTAAATAAGTCATTATTTATTTCATTACAACACACTTAAGTCGGTAATTTGACATAAGTTTCAACAATTACAAACAACTAATTTTTTTAAAATCTAAAACAAACAAGTACAAAATTATAAATTCATATTACATGTTTGAGAAAAAACAATAAAACAAGTAAATACATAAACAAAATACATATACTAAAAAATAATCAATTATAAAATTGACATTTTAAAATTGTATTAAAATTAATAAAAAAAGATAGATTTATTTATAAAAAATAAAAAATATGCACTAAATCAGAACACGGATACTGAGACTAGAAAATTTTATTTTAAGATGAGGAAGGATGTTTAGGGTGGGGGGGGTGAGGGGCTCGTTGTTAATGCTAAGGGGGTTGTTTATATGTAAGGGGATAAATAAGGAGAAATATGGGAGGGGAGAGTCAATGCTTAGTCATATAGTAAATCTTACCTATAAAATTACAGATAGAATTATTTCATCTGGCACTCCATCAGAAATTCTATCAATGTTTTTGACACGTCACTATATGGACAACCCAGTTTGAATCCGACTATAATTTCATTGGTAAAATTGTTCACAAAAACTTATATATTATCGTATAACTTGTTTTTTTAATTCTATTTATTTTATTTGGGATTCTCTCGGTATATATTGATGAATTGTTTATGTCGATAAATACCGACGGCTTTGACAATGAAAAAAGTTATGTTAGTAAATATCACTATAAATACCAAAAAAAAAATTGTTGGTAATTCTATTTGTATTTGTTGAATTTTTGGTACTCAAACATATTAATACACCTATATAGCTTGTGATATCATGTGTACTCTTTCAAGTATGTACTTTATCCATTTTCAATATTTTTGAAATTTTTAATTTAATTTGCGAGGAAGTTTTCAACTTTTTCACTTTTCTACTTTTAATTTTAATTTGTTGGGATTTCAAGTTTTTTGAGTTTTCAAGTTTTTCAATTTTCTACTTTTAATTTGTTAGGTTTTCAAGCTTTTCTTATTATTTTTTTAAACCATATTTCTTATGGTGTTTTAAGAGTATTTTCATCACAAAAGATGGAAAAAGTGGTCCATTAAGGTAGAATTGAAAAACATAACTTTAATTCATTTTTTTTTAACAAATATACAAGAGAACATGCTTAACATATAAAGATACATATATGTGTAAATTACAGATTACCCCAAAAATTGCTAACACTTAATTAGTATTTAATTGAATTAGACGTGTTTAGAGAGAAAAAAAACAATTAGACCAAAATTATCCTTCCTCTTTAATATATGCAATGCAATGTGATTGGTTTAGTTGATGCATAAATAGAGAAGGTGTAATAATTAATTTATCCAAACAAGATCTTGAACTTGAATTCCGCACTTAATTTTGCTTCGTAGAAATAACACTGGATTACGCACATCTAGTAGTTAAACTACTTGTCTAATTATTCTCCAACAAATAAAAAGACTAAACTGACAACCGAATCTGTAAAACTGCCTTGACATGTTAATTAATTTCCTATTTTTAACGTCTAAATTTACACAGTGCCTCCAGCCACAGTACTTTAAAGCATGATAAGATTATGTGCAAGTAGCAGCCCTAGCTAGTGAACATTAAGCAATGTGATTAGTACTTTATATTTTGTGATTAGTACTTTATATTTTAATTAACCAAAGATCAAAAGTTAATTAGGGTCAGGACTGCGGAAGAATAATGATGGGATGGTAGGGAGGAGGAGAAGATCCCTTGAAAGACTACAAAATCCGTATGTTCCCCAACCAATGCCTTCTTTTTTTCCTTGTAGCTGAGCTGCTTATGCCTTGCTTTTCCCTTCTTTTTTTCCTTGTAGCTGAGCTGCTCACCACATGGCTCCTCCCTCTCTCTCTCCCTCTCTCTGACTAACCCTGTTAACGGTTTCTCTCTTTATTTATTTATTTTTAAAGACATAAATATGGTGAGAGAACAAGAAGCACTGCATGCAAGATGAAGCCCTCGGGAATAAAGAATGGTCATTTCTATGCTTTGAGGCTGAGATGTAACTTGGACTCCCCCACATGGAGTCCTGTTGTCCTGTTTCTCTTGAAATTTTCACTTTCTCCACAAAAATTGAATAGTCAGTCTCATACCCATTAAAAAGAAGAAAAGGCAGTAGCATCCAATAGCTCACTACCTCACAACTTTTGATGTCTCCAAGGTGATTCTTGACAATATTAGTATTATTGTTGCTGCTAATATGGTAAATACACACTCACGTGTAAGAAATATTAAGGCCATACATAATTGATAGTCCTACAACAGCTTATGTGCTTATACTTGTCAAAGATGACGGTGTTTCATCATTCTTCCAGAAGGGGGAAGAAAACAAGAGCAAGACACTCTTTAAATAAATAGTCACATTGTGCTTGATCGGAACGTTTCATTTTGCTGTATATTGATATCCATCGAAAGCAAGTGAACATTGTTATGCATCATTGGATCTAGTTATGGAGGGGATGTGTTTTTTCTTTTAGGAGCAACATAACAAGTACTTGTCAAAGTCGACGTCGAACATAATTTTTATGGCGGATGCGTTCACATACTACACAATATATCTTGAATAAATACAAGAAAATAAAGTGGAAGTGGGATTTGCTTTGTGACTTGGCTAGTGACTGCATTGGGTCTTGGGCTCTAGGGATTCCCTCTATGTATCTATGGATATCTATCTAAAACAAAGGAATGTTACGTAGTGACGTGGAATGTGTAGTCTCTCAGTCGCATATGTTAATGTTCTTTCTTGAACAACTCAAAGATTCATCTCTAGCTCTACTATACCTCCCTGTCTTTTTCTTGGATTTTGAATAAATTGTATGTCCCTCCATATATTCTTTCACATTCTTTCTTCCTTTCTTGTTTTTTTTTTTTAAAAAAATTAATAGTTTCATTAGAAAAATCATATAGCCAAATTCGATTTCAGGCCAGACCCCATCACGTGAAAGTCTCACTAGTTAAATCACACAAATTCTCATGTTATGCTAATTAATCTAACACACATACTCTCTTTCTCTCTATGTATATGACAACATTTGTACCCCCATCAAGAGAGACTCGCGTCCCCACCTGGTCTTTGTCTGTTTACTCTTTGTTTCAATGATTCCTTTGAGAGAAGAAATGCTAGGCAACTGTGAGAAGATGGTTGTCATCTCTTCAACTACTAACGCATGGCCACAGGTTCTTTACCCCCCTCCTTCTCCTCTCTCTCTTTCTCTCTCAATTATTAGACAAAACATGACCCATATTTTTGTTTCTTAGCTTTTGGAAGAGAATATCTATCTTGTGTTGTTATTTTTACTCTAATAAGAACACCACTCTTGATGTCTTTCTTTTTTTTCTTTTTTTTTTCTTTCCTTCTCTCTTTGGTGCAGAATCAGATAGATGAGAAAAGCCTGATGGCATCAACAAGTAAACTAATGGAGAGACCAAGCCAAGAAGTACTTTCGCAACCACAGCAGCAGCAGCAGCAGCTGCAGCAAGCTCTTAAATGTCCTCGTTGTGACTCCTCAAACACCAAGTTCTGTTACTATAACAACTACAGCTTATCTCAGCCAAGACACTTTTGCAAGGCTTGTAAGAGATACTGGACAAGAGGTGGCACTTTAAGGAATGTTCCTGTTGGTGGTGGATGTAGAAAGAACAAGCGCGTCAAGAGACCAGCCTCAGCCGCTGAAGGAGCTAGTAATTCAGTTCCTAGTGCAAACCCAAACCCTCAAACCCCAATTGACCATATTTCTTCAACTTCAAATCATACTAATCCTTTGTTTTATGGGTTATCTGGCAGTAACCCATCAGAGATGAACCTTCCATTTCCTGGTAGGTTCAATCCAAGGATGGATTCAGCTGTTTCTGGGTATCATGATCCCCAGCCACAGTTAAATGCTCTTGCTTTAGGGTTTTCATCAGGAATCATGAGTACTAATGATGCTAATGGGTTTAACCCTACGAAGCAAATACAAGATGTGGTCACTTCAAATTCACTTCTTTCAAGTTATTCCAATCTCTTTGGCTCCTCCACAACTTCCACCAACACAACTTCTCCTATTATAGCTTCTTTGCTTGCCTCTAGCTTTAACCAACAAAAGTTCACCAATGGTGGTATCAAAGAGAGTACTAGAGCTCCCAACTACTTTCAAAGCTTGACAGTACCCTTCGAGGAGTTGCAAATGAATGGCAATAGTCAATCTGGGATTGATATGAAAGGGGTGAAAACTGAGCATGATCAAAATAGGTTGGACTGGAATGTGCCATGCCAGAATCAGATAGAACAAGTTGGCTTGTCAGATCCTTCAATGTATTGGAACACCACCACAAGTGTCGGTTCATGGCATGATCCAGCTACTATGGGGTCTTCAGTACTTCTTTGATCTAGCTCTACCAAAAATCCATTTCTTTCATTTTAGATATCTCCCTCTTGGTTAGTGATCTTGGTATGATCTTATTTAAACTACTTGATTTTTTTTCGTTTTACTTCTGTTTCTAGTGCGGTTCATGGTACTCAAATTGAGGATGGATTTCTCTTAACAAGGGTATAAGACAGGTGTGGAAGGAAATTAGAGATGAGAGGAGCTTGGATCAGAGAGATCATGTCAGCTGCAAGATCAGCCTATTGGTTTTATTTTCAAGGTTGAGAAATCCCATTTGCACTGAGAGGAACCTCGGATCCTCTTCCCTCTCATCAATACAGCCACCATAACCACGATCATTATCATGTACACTACACAGTGTTGAAGAAATTAAGAATATCCACTACTATTTGGTGCAACTTTCCAGCTATTGCTGGACTGGACTTTCCTTAATCTGTATGTATATATGCATGACAAGTCTCTTTTCCTTTTCCTTTTATTTTCTCCTGTTGTACGAGTCCTTGTTATTAGGTTGGGGTTAGGGGGTATATGTTTCAGTCGATAATCAATATCAGAGGCACTTCTTTTTCATTTTTTGTCTTTTATACTTTCTTTTTAAGGGGAAAAAATTTGCTGGGGGGCGTTGGGCACAATGGTATAGGAAAAGGGGGGGATTTTTGCTATTTTAATGTTGGGATTTTGTTTATGTGATTGGTCTTTTGGGTTATATGTTTGTTGACTTTGAAGTGTTTCATGTAATGAAGGATCTGTGGGTTTGGGAATTTCCATTGCTGATGTTTGAAATGCATTCAGTGATACACTAAACTTCTGGATACACTACACATTGTCAAATAATTGCAGATCGTTCACTGTTGCAGATAGTTCATATGCCTGCATAATGTTAGAAATGTAGGCACGATGATATTAAATGAAAATATGAATACAGATTTTCTTTAAACAGGAGTAATGTACCAGGACTAGATGTTACATTTGGTATGATATATATGGCTTGCTCCAATTTTACATCCTGATTTTGTTTAGTTCCTCAGAGAGATCTGAGGGATCTCTAGATATAATGAAAATTAAGACATGTCCCTGACAAGAACTGAAACTAGAATAGATTTCAGCTTCATGATGACTTGGATTTTAGTACATTGGCTGCAGTGCCTGACTACAGTTCCAACTTCGAATCTCTCGACACAGAAATCTTTTGCAAAATCAAATATGAGGAGGTTATTCTCAGAATTATATACAATCCTAATTATATTGTTGCTAATGATGAGAGTTTGGTGCAGTTATTATATAAAGGAATTCGGCTGCTAAAATTTAGATGCAAAGGATCAAGTTTTGTCAATTGTATAATTGATAAGCTAATGCTAGCTCTAGGTTAGGCATGGCGTTCATAACATCATGCCCGAAAGCAGAATTATATACAACATTAACTTATCTAGCCCATCCTCTGATTAAGATTGCTCCATCATTCTACATTTTCACTCAGCTTTTTGTATATTTACTATTCTAATGTCAATTTTAAGTGGCAGTAGTTGGGAGATGAAGTGATAGTAGTGACTGACTGTTTGGTCCAATTAATAATTAGAAAATGACCTTCTCGGAAAGGTATTGCCATTAAGGAAGTTTGATAATCTCCATGTGTTTATGTCTTCATTTAGGAGGGCTATTTGACCGTATATCTAGTATATGTGCTAGCAAAGGTAACATCAAAAGTTCGCTTTGAATTTGAGGTGTTCATAGGCTGGGCCTAGGCTTTTAGATCTGTCAAATTTGAGAGAACTCTGCTTCTATCCATAAACGTCATGGACAATATTGGCCTGCTGCCTAACCCATGAACAAATCCATTTCGAAACAGGTAAATATTATGAAAAATTAAGGATGTTCCCTTGGTTAATTTAACATTAATTTTATGAAAAAAGAATTTAATTTCTTGCTATGAAAAACGATGTGAATCTAAAGGACAAAATCTTAAAACCTACTGTTAATAATTGAAAAACTTTCTTGAAAAAGCTAAAATAAATTATAAAACCCTAACCCATAAATTACTTGAATCAAGAATTGAAGGTATATAATTAGAATATTATGAAGATAATTTTAAAAAAAATATTAAAATTTCAATGAAAAACCAAAAGCAAGAGTGCTAGCATAAGTTTTAATTTAATATCAATCATTTGTTTTTCACATTAAAAGTATTTATATGTCTGACTTAAATAGTAATAAACTATAATTAATAATTGAATGAAAATCAAATCCAAATAACTAATTAACTTAAAATAAAATACAAAGCTTGGGTCTTGTATAAATAAAAGCTTAATTCATATATTCCCATATAATAACTCTTAGACCTTATCAAAAAGCCCTTTCAATTTCTCATTGCTATGATATTTTAACTCTATTGAAAATAAAGTTTTTAAAATCTTTTAGTAAAATTATAGCTTTTAGCAGTTTTATTCAAAGTTATGGCTATTAACATAAAGTTATGTAGCCAAGCTCTAATACACGTTACATAACTTTATATTTTGCTTGGATCACATTGATTAACCCTTCATCCTCCTTCGAACTCAACTTCATGCTTGATGCTAACTTAGAAGGAATTCTTAAAGCTTGTTTAACAAAGAACTAGAATCAAAATTAAGAGAGAGAAAACATGCATTTTGTTTTCATTATTTAAGAGATGTGAAAAATTACAGCTTGGTCAACTAAATTTTAAATTTTACATTTTTAGTCCTTATTATTTGAGAATTTAATGTTTGGGTTTTAAAATTCATTTTATTTGTGATGTGGTCTCTATGTCAAGGAAGGAGAGAAAGTCACTAGGAAAAAAAATGAAGAAAAATATATGGTTGTCCATATGCCAACGATTTATTAATTGTAGGTAATTTGACACTTTTTCACTATCAATAATGAAAAAGATAGATCCTAGATCTGAAAAGATTAATTTTTGTATCAATGAGTTTATCTTAAAGAGTGAAGTTTTATTAATTGCAGGTAATTTGACACTTTTTCACTGTCAATAATGAAAAAGATAGATCCTAGATCAGGAAGGTTTTTTTTTATTGGTCAAATATTTTATTTTTTGACCAATTTTATAATTATTACAGGTTACAAATAGGTTTTCTTGGGCTTGTATGGTGTTGTTTTAGGTGTTTGTATACGAAAACAAGCTAAAAATGAGAATTTTTGGGTTTAAATATCCAAAATTTAATTTTTTTTATGGTAAAAAAATTTGAACTAGGTGATAACGTGATGTCAACCAAGGCAAACAACATATAGTCTATTTTTTTTTTAAATAAAGATAGCAAATATGTATTCCACCCATTTAAAAAAGAAGAAGAAAGGGCTAAGCATCGCACCCCTAAGATAATGTTTTAGGCCAGGTGTGCAACCTAATCCTTCTAGGCCTATGACTTTTTATATTAAATAACATTTATTTTTTTTCTTTTAATTTTGAGTCAAATTCATTATGAATAGAAAAAATTTTAATTATGTTTAAAATATTATCCAGTTTTTCCTTGATTTCTCACAAAAGATTATATTGTTTTATAATGATATTAACTATTACTTTGTGAATTATTATATCATTTTTTCAGTATCACTGTTCTGGATCAATTTTTTAAAAAAACAAATTCACTGCATCAAGTGATCAAAACTATCTTTTTTTTTTACTCATTTTTTAAATCTTATTTCTTGGCATTTTAATATAGTATATGTAGTTAAATGAATGTATGATTTACACATGTTAATGTTTGTTTGAGATTTTAATAAATTATATTTATTTATAATTTGATAAAATTGAGTTTGATTTTGTAACTTAGGTGTTTTGTAATGAAATAAATAATAGCTTTTTAAGTTGAGAATTTCTATAAAAAAATCATAATGATATAAGGGCACTACTAAAATAGATTGAATAAGTTTGAGTTAAACTAATGATAGCTAATTAGTTAGGTATCGATTATTTGATTAGTTCATATAATTAATAATACATCTTGTTATCAATATTCTATATAGGTTTCATATAAGTAATGAATTATAGTTCTTGGATGTATCGAGTATTACTTGAAGGGTTGTATAGGATAAATTATTATAATAGGGTTAAAGGTTTATTAATTACATATTATCTAATTCAAAAAATATTAGTGAAGTTGATATTAGATGTTTATGTAAGAAGTGTAAAAGAAAAGTAAAATGCTATAATAGGTATTTCATCAATGAATATGTTTTTCTTACTAAAGAGTATGGTCAGGGAAAAAAGATATATAACATTAGAGTTTGTGTTAAGTAATTGACTTTTAATGAGTTTGAATTGATTATTATGAGAAATTAGAAGATGTGATTAAATTACAATATTATATTGAGTTGAATAAAGTTTTTTTTATTCAAATGTTATTGGTATAATACCACTAATAGAGGAATTAGAGTATATCTCTATCATACTCGATCAAAATTAATACAAAGACAAGACTTCATAACATTAATGATGTCTTTATTTTTTTAAGTAATGCTAATAAATTTATTACATATACACTGCTTCTTTTAGAAAAGATAGCTATAGGGTTAATTGGTTATTCATAGTAAAAAACCAACCCTGAGGGTCATGTTCAAGTTGTTCAAGATAGAAATAATGAAGTCACTATATTGAGTTGCCCATCTATCAACTCAGAAGAAAATTTAAATTTTTATGTCATTGAAAATACTTTTATTAATATTGATGTTAAGGAATTAAATGATATAATGAGAACTGACCAATCCTGAGGGTCATGTTCAAGTTGTTCAAGATAGAAATAATGAAGTCACTATATTGAGTTGCCCATCTATCAACTCAGAAGAAAATTTAAATTTTTATGTCATTGAAAATACTTTTATTAATATTGATATTAAGGAATTAAATGATATAATGAGAACTGATGAACATACAGAAGTTGATAAAGATGATGATATCGATAAGGAAAAATTCAATATAGAAGATTATAGTGGACATAAAAATGATAAAATTAAAGAAGAAGAAGAAGAAGAAGATAATTTTGATTAATTTTTAAAACATCAATGTGTAACAAAATTAGAATTTAATGTAATATTTCTGGTTGTTCCTTTACAATGACATGAATGAAACATTTATTTTTTTGATTTTATTATTATAAACAAAAATGGTATTACTGTGTTGTGATTTCATTATATTTACAAGTCAAATATATATTGAATATAAAATGTCAGGGAAAAAGCAATTATTTGATACCAATGGAGGCACTAATGATTGTGAATTACAAATAGAATCGCAGATGGACAAAAAAATAACACAACCATGCCATTAACCATTATAGACAAAATCACAGACAGACTGATTCTATAAAAACATTTTAGAGATTACAAATAGAGTCATCGATGAACTGGAATTTTATCAGTTCATTTTAGGAGGGTTTTATAATATTTCAGGTTCCATTGAAAATTTCAATTTTTAGTTACAAACAAACTTACTGAAAGAATTTAAAAATTAATAATTCTTTAAATTTCCATTAGTAATTTTATTGGTGAAAAGACTTAATAAAATATCAAAATCCCTAACTTTAGAAGAATAACATTGTCTTCTTTCTCTTTTTTCCTCTACTCTCTCTCCACTTTCTTCTGTCTCTTTCTCTCTATGTTTTCTTATTTTTTTCTCTTTCAATCATATTTTTCTCGCTTTCTTTCCTCGCATTCTCTTCCTCTCTAACTCCATCCTTAATGCTAGAATCCTCCATACCGGGTGAATCTCAAACTCTTCCAATTTGTTTTATTCCCATTATGTTTGAGGTATACAAGTTAATTAATTCTTTTTTTTTTTTCACT